TGGGGAAAACACCTGGACTGGCTTCAAAGCCTTGAATGGCACCTTACCCTAACTGGTCTTTGCCTAGCTATTCCCCGGGGATTTATGGATGGGATCAGATGCTAGTCTCTACCTCCTATCCAAGACACAGGGTACAATTCTGTTTCCCGTAGGGCCCTCCCTTATGGGAATCAGTCTCTGCACTCGGGGACCACCTACTATTGACTACAGTGGATAAAATTTTAGTGGTAAGAATACTTAGATGTTTTTGAGTTTTTAAATAGTGAATTAGAGGAGAAGGAAGGAGACAAAGAGGGAAAAAGAGAGAAGGAGAAATTTAGGAAGAAGCAGCCTGAGAAAGTCTGGGCAAATTGGTTTCCTGGCTATTTCATCCATGCAGGAACTATAGTAAAGGCACAACCTTTGCATGTCTTTTTGTTGATTCAGTACATGGATCTGATACACAGGGCATACATAGATTTCCCTGGGCATTTGTGGCTTCTCTACAATGAGGGGTTCCGTATGAGAGCATGTCGAGACTTGGGATGTCTTCTTCCAGACATTACCTCATGCCCAATACACATTTCATGTATCACCCCATGGACTACATCAGCTCTCATTAGTTTTCAGATGGATGCCCATTAGGAAAATTTCGTTCATGTGCTACAGGTTAAATTCCATATTGTGGGTCATAATATCCTGACAGAGTGGCAGTTCATCCCAACATGCATTGGGATGAGCATCACCCCAGATTATGGTTGCAGTTTATGTCCCGATATGGGAGACTGTTTTGACTACAGTCACTTGATCCAGAGGGCTGCTACATCCAACATTCCCCGCACATTGACGGGCCAGGTGGTTTAACCCTGATTGATCTGCTGGGATTTTAATGCAAGAGGGTCTTGCAGTTGCAAGCCATGCAAATTTAAAAACCAGTGCTCCATTTGTAGAGCACCACACAGGGCAAATAGGGATTCAGGGGGAGCGAAGAAGGCACTTCCTGGTCCAGCTAATGCTGGAAAAGGGCCCCAGTCCAATTAAGATAGCAGTACTAGAGGAATGACTTAGGCTTTATCCAGACAAGGTAGCAGCAAGATAATTGCTGGATGGATTGAAGTTTGTTTTAGGATCCCTGTACTGGGGGAAAGAGTTGCCACCACGTCCCAAAAAATAATAAAATCGGTCAAGGGGATGGAGGATGTGGTACAGGCAAGAATCAACAAGGAGGTTTGAGAAGGAAGGATGGTTGGTCCATTTATGGAGCCACCGGTGCCAAATTAGATGGTTTCACCACTAAGAGTGGTAACCAACAAGGCATCCAGTGAGTAACGGCTGATTTACCATCTATCTTACCAAGCCGGGGACACAGTTCACAACAGAATCCCTTAGGAACTATTCTCAGTGCAGTACACGTCATTTCATGAAGCTGTTTACATAGCCTGTGGGTTTAGTGCTGAACTGACAAAATGCGACATTAAATTGGCATTTTGCTTGCTACCAGTGCACCCCATGGATTTTGAGTTACTGAGTTTTGTTTTTGATGACATCTATTACATGGACACGGCCTTGCCTATGGGGTGTTCCATAGTTGTGCAGCATTTGAGCATTTCTGTTCCATTTTGGAAGGGGCGTTCAAGTGCACAGTTGGATTTCCCTATATGGTGCACTATTTAGATGACTATATTATTTGTGGGAGACAGACTCTTCGTTAATTCATCATCAACCACAAAAGACATTGTAACGCCAGTTTTTTAAAAATGTGAAGAATGGCATCCTGGAATATGATAATATTTGAAATAGTGGAATGAGCCATGGACTATTGTATGTACTTTTCTGAAAATCAGTATTGTGTAGTAATTGGACCTGAATTAAGGGCACCTGGGTTCAAACCATGAAACTCTCTGGATGACCTTGGTCATATACTGTCTCCTGTTCTCACAGGGTCATTCTGAGACACCACTGACAAGACAACCATGGCATGAATATTTTATCTGAGAACCAAAAATATAACCATACACCTATGAATATACAGTCTTGAAGATCTCAGACCAAATCTTACTGAACATCTGCAGGCAGCGAGAATGTTTTCCATTGAAGGGTTTATACACCAATATAGATAGATAGCCCAGAGAAAGGGAGGGGAGGCAAGCCAATTTGACAACACCACTTCCTGGTCATCAAACCTGTTTTATATCAAGTGAGACACCAAGTTGCCTCAGTGAACAAACATATCCTTTCAATCCCACATGAGGTGGTCATATTGCATATATTGTGTGCTTATCAGTGGGGTCACATAGAAGAGTAGAGAATAAATATGTATGTACAATATGTATCTGTTCATTCTTGTTTCTTTCCAGTTTGCATATATACACAATGAGAGTACCAAGTGTGTGTGTCATGATGCCTATGGTTCTGCATTTACTACTGTATTTCCCAAAGATTCTACTGTCCATAACTCTCAGAGATACAGAGGCCTACCAGTGCAGATCCTGTATCATGTTTCTCTGATATTTATTTATTTATTTATTTACTATATCTAATCAGGGCCCTACATGAAGAAACATACCTGACAGTCAGGTGCAGCAGACAGGGACACCTCACGGAATCTGTGCAAACGCACAGAGGTGTTAGGCAAGGCTGCCTACTGGCTCCAGCATTATTCATATTTTACATAAACGACTTATCAAGCTGGCTTAACACCGCCGATCTCCATTCACCTAAACTTACAGATAGAACAGTGCCAGCCTTACTCTATGCTGATGATACAGTAATTCTATCCAGAACCCCCATAGGGCTGAGGAGGGCACTTAAGAAGCTTGCCTCATACTGTGAATATAAATCATTAACGATTAACTATCAGAAGACCAAGATAGTCGCCTTTGGACAGAGACCCAAGAGTAGGTCATGGCAAATAAATGGACACAGTATCGAGCAGGTGAACAGCTTCAAATATCTGGGGGTAGTATTACAGGCCTCAGGATCTAGGCTTCAGCATAGTAAATTTGTGGCTGATCAGGGAGAAAGATCGGCAAATAGTATAGTAAAATTCCATCTCTCCCAAGGAGCGTCCTTCATACCAGCAGCCCTCAAATTGTATAGAGCAAAGGCATTAGCCCAGCTGCTGTACGGCTCATTCATGGGGCCACCCAGTTCTCACTTCGCACCACAAGAAATAGTCCAATCCAAATTCTTAAGAACTATACTCCAGGTCCCAAGATGCGTGTCAAATGCAAGGATAAGGCTAGAAACAGGATGCCTTAAAGTAGAAGCCTGGATTAGAATTCAATCTATATATATGTGGCTAAAGGGACAGTCAAATCCAAAAGGCCTATTTTCCTTATTATTTAAAGATAACTATCAATCTAAGTGGGCTAAATCGGTCCAGGGCTACTTGGGGAAAATTGGCCTCTCACCTCAGGCACTTATATCCTCTGGAATAGAGCAGGCAAAACAAATAGTTAAACAAAGAATAGAGGACAATGAATACCAAACAGACCTTTCTAGCATCCAAAATATGGCAGCA